CAGGCCAGGGGGACCACACCACCTCTCCAGGACCACCCTGCAGGCCATGGGGGACCACACCACCTCTCCAGGACCACCCTGCAGGCCTTAGGGACCACACCACCTCTCCAGGCCCACCCTGCAGGCTGTGCTGATACCCACACCAAGGACAGCACATGGGTGGACCCCCGAGTGTAGCCCCACCATGGCAGGTCCTGGGAGCCCTGCTGGGAGGGCCCTGAGGATTGGGATGGGACCTGGGGAGGTCTGGTCAGCCAGTGGGTGCTCAGCAGCGTGCAGTCCGGAGCACAATGTCCTCCACATCCCTGTGGAAGGCTGTTGTCCCCCAGCCCCATTGGAACTCTCACCTTGCAGTCCCCGAGGCCCAGGGTGGCCAGACTCCACAAATGCCTGCAAAGAACAGGGTAAAGTGGTCTCTGAGGGACAATGCTCTGGAAACCAAGGCCACCAGCCACCTGGGGTCCCCAAACCCAGAAGGCCACATCAGGGGAGCCCTGGGGCAGGTGCGTGGAGTCAGGAGCCCTGGCCGCGTCGCACTGCCTGTGGGGGTCACCGCCCTACTGGGCCTTCGCTCTTCCTGGGGGACACGCTTCCTCATCCACAGCCCCAGATGCAGCCCCCAGCCCAGCCCACCCCAGAGGCCCTGGGGACAGGACTGGAACCAGTGACAGGGAGAGGAGGTGGCGGCTCCTCCACACGAGAGCAGGAGGCGCAGGGACTCAGTGCCGTGGGGCCCTGGAGACTCACGTTGCTGTCGTAGAGGGGCACCCCCGGAGGGCCTGGGGGCCCAGGAGGCCCTGGGGGGCCGGGCATGCCCTGTGGAGTGACAGAGAGCTCTGGTCATGGGGTGACTGGGAGGTGTGTGTGTCAATCAAACCGGGGTCTCACTCCTCACCTGAGGGGGCTCAGCCTGCAGCACAGGACGCTCCACTTGGGAGCCCTGCTCCCTCCGAGAGGGGGCCATGTGCAGGGCCAGCCCCAGGCCTGCCATGGCCCACCTGCCAGCCCACCCCTGTGGCTCCTGAGCAGCTGTGTGACGTGGCCAGGGAGGGAAGAGGCAAGACACAGGCCGGGGGAGACAATGGGGGTGGCCAGACTCCCAGGAGACCTCCATGCGTGGGCCTCCTGAGAGAACCCGTGGCTTTGCTGTTCCCGGTGGGCGTGGGTCATGTGCGACTCTGACACGCTGCACACGTGCAGGTGCACAAGTGGCCCGTGTGTGCATGTGTGTGTGCATGTGTGTGAGTGTGCATGTGAGTGCATGTGCATGTGTGAATGGTGCGTTTGAGCGCACACAGGAGCGTGAGTGTGAGCACACGGGTGTGCACGTATGAGCACACATACACATATGGGTGGCATGGGAGTGTACATGTGTGTGCATTACCTGTGCGTGTCTGCCTGTGTGTTTTTGTGTATGTGTGTCAGAAGACCAGCACTCTGTGGTCACCCTGCCAGCAGCTCTGAGAAGCTTCTGACAGGTGAACTGGGGACCCCAGAGCTGGCCAGGCCACTCCTTGTCCCTGGCTGTCCTGGCCACCCCTGTCCACCCGTCACAGGGCACTCACCCTCATTCCAAGTCCGAGGCTGGCGTCTGCAGGTTCCCCCTTCTCTCCCTTCAGCCCATTCACCCCAGGGCGACCCTGGGCCAGAGCACAGTGGGGGGCTGTTGGGCACTGTGGGGGACAGCTGCAGACCCCCGCTGGCCAGGCTGCTGGGCCACAGCTCAGCCGCCCACACCCACTGGGCAGCTCCTTCCTGCCCTGCGCTGCCCCCCCCCCCTTCTTCTTGCCCTAGCACCCAGGGGGTGGGGTGGGAGGTGGCTGGCCCAGCAGGACCGGACCATGACCCTCTAACACCCAGGTGTCCTCTGGCCTGAGCTCTCCCTGGACAAGGCCCAGGATATCCTTTGGCCACTTCAGGATATGGGCTGTGCCCAGGAGGTCAGCTGCCCACCCTTCCCCAAGCCAGTCCTGCGGTGGGTCAGGGCTCTCTGCACCTGTCCGGCTGGGCCTGCTGCCCACTGGGGCAGAGGCCCGGCCAGACACCCAGATGCTTACCGGTCGTCCAGGAAGGCCGATCTCACCCTTGTACCCAGGCCGCCCATACGGACCCTGCAGAGAGGATGTGCACTGAGGCTGCAGGACCTCTGAGCGGGGGGCTCTGAGGCCAAGGGAAGGGCCAGCCAAGGGCCAGAACGCTGGGCACCACGGTGAGCCGCCCACTGTGTCCCGCCCAACAGCCCCTTGAGTTTCAAGTTGCGGTTGAGATCTAGGCACTGGGGCCACGTGCCCAGCAGCCAGGCAAGGTGACGAGGTCATTTCCGACCACAGCACAGTGGCTCAGGACGAGGGTGCTACTCACCGGGGGTCCTCGGAAGCCCGGCTCTCCCTGGACAGAAAACAGAGGCACTGTCAGGTGGTGCAGTGCTCCCCGCCTGGGGTTCCGGAGCCACAGCTACAAGCTGGGTGGCACCTGGGCTACCAGCCACACCAGGGAGGTCGGGAGACCCAGCAGGGCTGCTGGACAGGGTCTGCACCTGGGCAGCTGCACAGGCAGGGCATGCCCTGGGTCTTGAGGCTCGAGGCCTATCTGTGCCAGGCCTGGCCAGGTCATCTCAGGCCCTACGCAGAGGTACAGCCAAGGACACAGTCTTTCTGGGCCTGCGGATCCAACATTCTTGGTCCATCCCAACAGTCAAGGGGCTCTGGGCTCCCCGCACAGGTGGCCAGTCAGCCGCTCTTCAGGGCCTGCTGTGGGCTGTGCTGGGCTGGGCCCAGGGCACAGGCCCCTCAACGCTGTCCTGACCGCCCTGGCTCAGGCCAGTGGAGGAGTCAGCAGCTGAGCTGGGCCCTGAGACCCCACCTCCCTGCAGGCAGGCCCAGCCAACAGGGTCAGAGGGACAACGAGCACTGGCCAGCAGGCACAGGAGTGCAAGGCACGCCCCACGTGGCTGAGAGGTGGACCTGGGAGTGCCATGAGGGCCAGGCGGCAGGAGGGGCCGTGTGCCAGGACCACTCTCCCTGAGGACCAGCCCCCCCATGTCTCCTTGGTGGCCTGCAGGGGGCGCTGCCCTCACCTTGGCTCCTTTCTGGGCAGGGCCCAGGGTTCTGCCGTCAGGGCCCAAGACACCGCCAGGCTCTCCCTTCTCCCCCTGGAACAGCAGAGTCACAGGTCAGGGCTCCCGGCAGGCAGGGCGGCATGGTGTCCCCAGGCCTCGCAGAGAACACCCAGGAACAGGGATGGACACGGACACAGCCCAAGCTGCAGCTGGCCACACGCTTGCTCAGAGGTCACTAGGGGCAACACAGCCCCATTGTACTAGGGCTCTGTCTACCCCAGAGTGGCCACTTGGGCAGATGGAGACTGTCCACTGGGTCAAGGAAGGCTGTCCACCAGAAGCACACCTTGGCTCTGGCTGAAGCTTGGGTGCCAGTCATGCTGGCCCCTGGCTGACGGCAGCAGCTGGGCAGATGGCACCCCAGCCCTTACCTTGGGTCCTGGGAAGCCCTGCTCGCCTCTGGAGCCCGGGTCGCCCTTTGGTCCAGCAGGTCCCTGGAGGGAAGACCAAGCGGAAATGAGCATCCCTGGAACCAGTGTCCACCAAGCTCCCAGGACCCCCACATCCTGCCCTGCGGCTGCTCCTGGTCTGGCACCAGCATCGCGAGGTCCTGACTGGCCAGGGGCAGAGAGGTGCTCAGTCCTGCTCCTGTCCTCCAGTCCAGTGACTCCGCCCACCCCTTGGGCCTCCGAGGCCCGCGCAGCTCCCCTCTGCTCTGCCCTACGGGAGACCCCCCAGACCCAGCCAGCTCGGGAGGGGGCCACTTACAGGAAAGCCTGCGAAGCCCGGCCTGCCCTGCAGAGAGAGGGACAGCGTCAGCCAAGGGCGGCCACGCCCTCAGGACACCCCGCCACTGACCGAGCAGCTGCTCAGCGACAAAAGCACATACCTCAGGCCCCGGTGCACTGGTCACTGCTCCCTGTCCACAGGCAGCAGAAGGCAGAGAAACAGGGAGAACAAGTTCAGAGTGGACCCGGCCCCAGGGCTCTGCGCCGGGAGGGGAGCAGGACCCTTCCAGGCAGCCATCCCGAGGGTCCCTGGCCTGGCCCTTCCCAGGGACATCCGGGGCAGAGGGACGTGGTGGACGCCACTGCTCGGCCCCAGGCCACGGGCTCCCAGGCCACAAGCCTCTTGCTCAGCCCGCCTCTCCAGCTCTGCTGCAGGCTCCCGCTGACCCCTCCCGGATACTCACCCTCATTCCAGGCCCCACCCACAGGGTTCTCCAGTGACTGGGCAGGTGTGCCTGCATGCACTGCCCTGGCCAGGGTCCCTAGCCCCGGCCTACGGGTCTGCCCTGAGCCGTCCCTCCCTCCTCTCAGACTGCTGTGCTTGTCCCATCTGCCCTTCTGTCCACTCCTGGTACTCAGATGGGCCCAGGCCAGGCGCAATTCTGACCATTCTCAGACTTAATCCAACCTGTGCCCCAGGACTACAGTGTTCCTCATTTTGAAAATGACGCTGTGCACAGAGAGGTTAAGTAAGTGTCTAGGGTCACACAGCTGTCGGTGCTGGAATGTGACCTGAGCCCTGCTGGTCACCCCCATCACTGCTCTAACTCTGCATAGGGCAGCTCCTTCCAGGGACAGCAGGAACCTGAGCTGCTGACCACACGTCTGTCTCCCCCAGCCCCCCCTCCCACACAGCGTCCTTACGTCCTGATCAGACACGTAGACCACGGGCCCCGGGGGTCCTGGGGGCCCAGGCAGGCCTGGTTGCCCCACTCCATCCTTTCCTGGGTCACCCTGGAAGAAAAAGCCACAAGTCCAGCCCGTGACCACAGCGGCCCTGGCCAGGACCCAGAGCCCAGCTGGCTTTGGAGGTGGTTCCTGGAGTCCACGGGGTCTGAGGGGCATCGTGGGTGTGGACATGCTGCGCCCCAGCCCCGAGAGCCACTCCTGCCAAATTGAGGGTCTTGTCCCATCTGGAGCCACGTGGGTGCAGACCCCCAGGGCAGCACCCCGAAGCCAGCCCTACTGTCCACCCGCTGTGGGCCCTGAGCCCCACGCTGCCCCCGGACACTCACTCGTTCTCCGGGGCTCCCTTTGTCTCCTTTAGGTCCCTGCAGAAATGAGGAGGTGGCAGCGCTCAGAGGCGCTGATTGGTGAGGGGGTTCGTCCCCAGGCAGGCGGGGGCTGGGCAGGGACAGCCACCAAGGCCCCCGGGGTCAAGGCAGGCACACTGGGTCCTGGAGCACGGGGACCTGCAGGGCCAGGCCCCCAGGAGACCCAAGGTGGCTGGTGGGCCAGCTCTCCTCCGGGGTAGTTCCTCCAGGGGCTTCATCCCTCCACACCCGGGGCCACCACGGTCACTCACCGGGGGCCCTGCCGGGCCTTCTCTGCCAGGGAGGCCAGGGGACCCGCGGGCTCCGTCGGCTCCAACTTCCCCCTGGAATGAACAGAGGGTCCAGCATGTCAGCCACCGGGCCTGGGGCTGCGGAGACTCACCAAGAGGAAGCCCAGAGTGGCCGTGACCGTGAGGACCCTTGGGTTCCTGCTGGTCACTGGCTCCACCCCGGGGTGATGCTGCCTGTCACCCACTGGGGGCTGTGGGGGGGTGAGGAGGGAAGCCTGGCCACAGGCCTGTTGTGGCTCCCAGGAATGGCCGTGGGGCGCAGGTGGGGTCTGGGCCCTCCGCTGGTAAACCCAGGGAACACGGGGCGGGGCTGGGCCTGCGTGCCCTGCGGGGCCGCCTCTGAAACAAGGAAGGGTTCAAGTGTAAGGAAAAGGGGCAGGCCAGGGAGGAGGGGCAGTGCGGGACCTGACCCTGCTGTCACCCGTGTCCTCCACACAGGCCTGGCTGTCACGGGGGGAGCCCAATGGCCCCATCTACTGCGGTATGGGGAGGACAGGCTCCCGGGGTCCCTGTCCGCCGCCCCCACGTGGTCCAGTTCCTGACCCTGAGTAAGGGGCTTACCTTGGCCCCAGGTGGCCCGCGGGCTCCAGGATCCCCCTAAATGGACAAAGTGACTCAGTGAGTGGGTGGGCAAGCCGTGGAGGAGGGGCTAAGTGCCAGGTGCAGCCCGCAAAGAGCAGAGGCCCTGGACAGTGGGCAGCTGAGTGGCCCCCTGCTCCCGCAGCACCTGGCTGGACGGTTCTGGAGGCTGGAGGCAGAGCCCACTGACCCCAGAGAGGCATAAGTGACCTTCTGAACGCTCAGCCTTTGAGCTGGCCCAAGGCTTCACCAGCCAAGGGGCAGTGGGACAGGAGGGCCTGGCCGGAGCGGACCCCGAGGGGACCCCCGACTTGGACCTCCTGCTGGGGAAGGCTTGACGGGGGCGGGTGAAAGGGCCGCTGCCCGGGGGCCGAGGACTCCGGTCTGGACTTCCGTGTGGTCCCCCGCTGGCCCTGCCTGGAACCAGCTCAGGCCTGGGGAGGGGTGGGGCTGGGTCCCTGGGTCCTCCAGGGGCCCCTGCCCGTGCCCTCGGGGTGCCGGGGCCAGGAAGCCCTGCAGGCCTGGGGAGAGGGCCGCGCCCCTGCGCTGTCTTCCCATCAGGCTTTGGTTCCACTTTGCAAGTTTCCCTCCCGGGATCAGGAAACCGAGTCACCAAAGCTGTGACCGGCAGCGCGGAAGCAGGGGACTGACCTTGAGTCCTGGCGGGCCGGGTGGTCCCTGTGGGGCAGAGCAGACAGCATCAGTGCAGCCCGCCCTGCCCGGAGCCCTCTCTCCCATGGGAAAATGAGCCTGACCCCAGCACTTCAGCGGCAACCTCAGATGAAGCTCGCTGCCTGTGGGGGAGCAGCGCCCCAAGACGGCAGCAGGCCGGGGCCAGCCCGGGGCCCCAGGTGCCCAAGCCACCCTGCCCGTCCGGAACCAAGCAGACTCACGTCTTACAAAACCGCCACATAAACACTTGCTGTGGAGCCGCCCACCCAGGGCAAGTGGTGAGCTGACCCTGACCCAGGCGTGTCCCGCCAGACGCCACGGGGCTCTGGAGCCATTTTTGTGGCCCAGAGCAGGGCAGGACCTCCTAACAGGGGGACAGTGACCTCTAGAGACGACATGGCTGTTGGCGCCACACTAGGGCCCCATCTTCCCCAGACCCTCCTGGCTGACTGATCCTGCCGGGTCACAGGTGGCGCAGAGCAGGTGGAGATGCCGTTCGGGACCCCTCTGTGTAAGTCAGATCACGCTCAGGCCCTTGTTCCTTACGTCCCCAAACCAGAGCCACAGAGAGAACTCCACGTCTCCTTTCCCAGGAAAGACTGGTCCTCTAGGCCTGTCCACCTGGCTCGTCCATCCTGACCACCACTGCATTTCCCTCTGGAGGGACACAGGTCCCAGCCCTGGGACTTTCAACTCAACAGTGTCCCCAGGGGGCGGGGCCGAGGGTAGACAGTGCCTGTGTCCCCAGCCCCCCGACTGTGGCCGCTCCTGGCCCACGGGAGCCTTTTACAGGCACGTAGGGGCCCCCAGCTCATGGGCAGTACCTGTGGCCCCTCAGAGCCGCGGGCTGTCGACCAGAAAGGTGCTCCGGAGCCCTCCATGTCGTCCTGGAGTGGACATAAGAGGGACACTTCTTAAAGAGGAGAGGACCCCACCTTGGGCCTGGGATACTAGAGCTGGGCCGTAGCAGAGTGGGTGGTTCCCAGGGCCAGGCCACCTGGGAAACAGCTGTCCTTGGGGGGCTTTGCAGTGACAGGGGCCCTGGTGGGGTGGGGCCCATACAGTCCCTCCAGTGTGGCTCATCTGCCTGGTCTGCACATGTGCTGTGCCTCGGCTGTCCCCTGAGGGGTTTTAGGGACCTAAGGGACAGGGGCCTGGGGAGGACAGCTGTGATCACTGGACGCTGGGCATGAACACCTGTGCTGAGTGTACATGGGAGCCACCAGCACGGCCAGCCCTCAGCCCCTCAGGGCTCACGGGGGCCACCGGGGACAGAGCCCAGGCTGTGTGGCAAATGCTGGCCGAGACAGCGGGGCATCCTGGAGCTGCCCGAGGGGAAGGTGGGGTGGCAGGCTGGCCTCCTAGGAGCTAGGACTCACAAATCCAGCAGCAAGTCCTGGTCCTGGTGGCCCAGGGGGGCCCGGCGGTCCGGGAGGTCCAGCGGGACCAGGGGCTCCTACAAAGCCGCTCTCCCCGGGAGCACCGACAGGGCCAGGGTCTCCCTTGCTTCCCTGCACAGGGCAAAGAACAGTGTCACCACCCTCTGCCTCTGGGTCTCAGAGCAACCCCAGAGGCCACCGTGTCCCCAGGATGGCTACGTGTCCTGCAGAGATGCAGAGTGCAGAGGCGAACACGCTGGAGCAACGCGAGTCCTTATGAGGGTCCAGGCCGCTCAACCACAAGCACCAAGGGCCGAGCGAGACCTGCAGCTGCACGTCGAGCCTGCGGCCTGCTCCCCAGAGCCCGGCACATGCACGGGGCACAGCACGCTCGCTCACAGCCACGTCACTCCCTGAGCCTCAGGGTCCTCCTCGGAAAACCAGGACAAGCAGCACATCTCTCGGCATGGGACAGCGGCACACGGTGTTGTGAGACCCTGAGCCCAGTGCTGGCCGGAAACCGGCAGGAATGTGACCACCTGTTAGGGTGGCAACCGGCCACTCTGCATAGCCCCTCCCCACTGCCCACTGCCCCCGCAGGTGCCTGGCGCTGAGCCCAGCCCTGGGCTGCTGCAGCCACGGCCAACCCTGGTCCCAGAGTCTCCTGCCCCTGGGTGGGCGGCTCCACACCAAGTCCCGGCCCCTCCCGCTGCTCCACCCTCACACCCACTCCACCCAGGGCTGGTTCCACACCCCTCCACTCTGCTTTAATCTGCCTCCACCTAGATCCGGGTGGGCACCCACCACGCCCAGCCGAGGAGGCGAGCCCTGGGCGTCTTGGGCATTTCTGGGTGGAGGGTGCCTTGGTGGGGACTGTCCTGGACATTTGTGGAGTGGCCAGCGGGGGAGAGACCCCGCCCAGCTGGCAGGCAGCACCTCTCCTTCCCAGGGAGCTGTCCCTGCCCCTCTCCCCTGGGCAGGCTCACGAGGAGGTGGCCCAGGGTCTCCCTGCAGGCTGCTTGGCTGAGTCAGATGAGGGTCCGGCAGGGCAGGCCCAGACCTCAGGCCTGTCCCAGGGAGGCTGGGACCACAAGAGGGGGGACAGGGAAGGCCTGGGGAGCAGAGGCTGCCTCAGCCTCCCCTTCTGCCCTTCAGAGTGCGGGCAGGGCTGGGAGTGTGCCCCCCTGGGAAGCCGTGTGGGGACGCTGGGTCCTGCTGGGCCTGGGCAGCCCCCACCCTGCGGCTCGCGGCCCCCCTGAAGCCCCCCGCCCCCTGGAGTGTTCACCAGGACAGCAGGACTCGAGGGCAAGGGGCACCAGGGGAGGCGTGGCCCTGCCCGATTCCTGGCAGCATGGACAGAGCTGGGGTCGTGGTCAGCAGCAGGAGCACACTCCCTGACCACAGCGCCCCCTGCACCCGCGGGGGGCACTTCATGGAGAATGGCACCAGCGTTTGTACCTTGGGTCCTGGGGCGCCTGTGTCACCCTGCGGGGAGAAGGACAGCATTACCATGAGGTCCAGGCCAGTGAGGGAGCCAGGGGAAGGCAGATGTCCCAGGCCAGCTCCGACCAGGGCGGCCATGCTGCCTCCTGGGCCCGTGGGCCCGCTCTGGGTGGGGCCTGGGGCTTGGCAGGGAGAGCTCCCTCCCAGAGGGGCCCGTTGCTAGGCTCCCGGGCTCCGTGGGGGCCTTCCTCACTCCTGTCCCCAGGGGGCCTCCCACCTACGCCTCCTTCACAGAAATCCCACCGCGGCCACGGGAGGCCGGCCAGCCCCAGGAGCTCCCACCCCACCCAACGGAGACGCGAAACGAACCTCCACAGATGGAGAGTCGGCCTTAAAAGCTGTGCCCCTGGCATCGCCAAGAGAGCCTGAGCTCTCCTCGCCGTCCCAAGAGACCTCCCAGGCTGCGGCCTGTCCCCAGCCTGTCCCAAACGTGCAGGGTCCCTCCACCCCCTGGCTGCTCGGTGGTGCTGGGTCAGTCCACAGGACGTGTGGCAGGTGACTTACAAGACTGCCTTTCTGGCCCGTCTTTCCTGGTGGACCCTCTTTTCCTGGAGCTCCGGGGGGGCCCTGCAAGAGAGGAGCCGGTGAGGGTCTGGGTGCCCCCCCTGAAGAGCTGGGGCAGGCTCACAGTCAGCTGCACCTCAGGTTCCCCAGAGGCCAGGGCACAGCATGTCCCTGGACCTGGGGCGAGTCCCTCCGCTCACAGGGCACCTGACTTGGCCCTAAGACAGCTGCCTTCAGGGCTGGTCCCCGTCTCCTTTCCCAGGGCCAGGGCCTGACCCCGGGGCCCGGCACCTGCTAGGCAGGGGTGCGACCTGGGAGCTGCACCCAGCCTTTTCGTATTTGCTTTGAGACGGGGCCTCACTAGGCCGCCAGGCTGGGCTGGAACTTGCAGCCCTCCTGCACAGCCTCCAGGTGTCTGGGGTTGCCCGTGTCGCCACACACCCAGCCCCTGTCTCTCCTTTTCAAGTTGCCAGTCACATTCAAGAGGACAAGAAGTGACGAGGGATCCCGTGGGGCACGGCGGGTAGCTCGCAGTGGTTGGGAATATCAGGACGTGCTTCCAAGAGGCCGGCTGGCAGGGGGCCCACTTGGCTTTCCTGGTCACCCGGGTGCAGAAGCGTGCTGTGGAAGAAGCCCTGCGTGCCCACTGAATTATGTGGCCAAGGAGCCACGCTGCTGGCAGCAATGACTCTGTGGGTACCGTGCCGACGGGCAGCAGGCCACAGGGGCTCCACCTGCCCCCAGTGGGCCCTGATGAGGCTCTTGCTTCTCCGTCCCCACCGGAGGCTCATCCCCTCTCCGTCCCCACTGGAGGCTCACCCCCTCTCCGTCCACACCGGGAGGCTCACCCCCTCTCCGTCCGCACCGGGAGGCTCACCCCCTCTCCGTCCCCACCGGGAGGCACTGTGAGCTCAGTAGACCTGCCCAGTCCAGAGAGGTCCACCAACCCATCAGCACCCCCAGGACTACAGGGTGGCCCACACAGGCTCTCTGACCCTAGGAATGGCCCAGATACATGGCCCACCTGGAGGAATGGGCTGGGGGCCAGGACTGGGGAGGCCAGGTGGCAAGGGGAGGGCCCCAGGTAGGCACTCGACCCCGTTCCCAGCAGACAGGGCCCCGCTGGCGGACAGCCAGACTCACCGGGGGGCCTGGAAACCCAGGGGATCCGTCGCGCCCAGGAACCCCAGGAAGGCCAGCAGGTCCCGGAGCATGGGAGCTGTTCATGCCAAAGCGGCCAGGCTCGCCAGGCAGGCCTGGGACACCCGGGGGGCCCGGGGGGCCGGGGAAGCCACGTGGGCCCTGCACAGAGACAGACCATCAGGGCCCACACCGCCCGGCCCAGCGATGACCTCATCCCTGACCAGCCTGGCCCACCCCAGGGTCCCTGCTGGGCCTCCTGGGGGCCACAACTGTTGCGCCTGCCCAGGGGGAGAGCAGGCAGCTGCCACTCACCCTGAGGCTCTCCAGATCACCACCAAAGCCGGAGCCTTCCATGTCGATGAAGGTCTGAGGGGACAGCCAGAGAGGCCTGTCGTTAGGAGAGAGGCCCTGCCCTGCCCAGCACCAGGCTGGCCCTGTCAAGCTGTACCCTGACCACTGCCCACAGCAGACATGCAGGACACCCCTGTACTGGCCCCAAAGACACAAAGGGGTCCAGGGCCACCCGTGGCCACTCAGAGCTGGCCGTGGCCCTGCAAGCCCTGTGAGCCAGAGGAAGGTGATCCCCCTAGGCCAGATACCAGGAGGCCGTTCTCAGGCTTGAGGAAGAGGACTCACCAGCTTGTCATGTCTGAGGGAGGGTCCTGGTGGCCCTGGAGGCCCTTGGGGTCCTGGGGGTCCTCTTGGCCCGATCCCAGGATCTCCCTGGACACCAGACAGACATGTCACACCAGAGCTCATGGCCCAGAGGCTGGGACGGGGGGCTCTGCACACTCACCTTCTCGCCCTTGGGGCCCATATCTCCTGGAGTCCCCGGGAAGCCCTGTGGCCCAGTGTCACCCTGGAAGACAAGGTGCTGGGGTCAGCCTGAGCCTGCTGTCCTGGATGCTCCTCTCCCAGAGCAAGGGACAGAGGGACCTGAGCCCTTGCAAAGGACAGAGCAAGGGACAGAGGAGTCCAGGAACCAGGATGGCACCATGTCACCAAGGGGCCCCCAGAGTGGGGACTCAAAGGTGACACACCTACTGCGAGGGACCCACACAAGACTGCATGTGGCACCCTACCAGGGAGTCACACCTTGCCCAACAGCGGAGGCTTGGCCACACACACGTGGATGCTCATGCGTGTCCACCCTGTGAACTCGAGGCTAGGACACTGCTTGTGACCATGCCAGCCAGACCCTCTCGGGCCTCACGTGGCTTCGCCTCCGGGTGGCTTTGCCTCCAGGGGCACAGTGGTCCCCAGTGGCTCCTCTGGCCAGCGGGAAGACCTGCCCCTGCTTTCTTGGGGCTGGCCGGGGCCCCCCTCTCTGCCTCCTGGGTGGCATAGCCTGTTGGCCAGCTGTTCCCCTCCACCTGCCGCCCTGCGTCCTCTGTCCTTGGAGGTGGCCCTCCTTGTTTTCAACACTCTCCAGGCAGGAACTCCAGGTCCGGAGGCCCCCACTCCCAGGCCTGCCCCGCCTCCCTCCGGGCACCTGGCAGTCAGCCCAGCGTCCCAGCACCTAAGTGGGATCCACCAGCACTTAGACTGGAATTTTCTTCACAAAGTGAAGTTGCACTTTGGAGACGGTTTCTCTGCGATAGCCCCGGCTGGGTCTAAAGGCCTGACACCGTGATAACATCTGGCTCAGAAAGAAAAGCAGACTTACGGGCTTTCCGTCTTCCCCCGGGTCTCCCTGGAACGTGCAAGAGAAACCATTAACCAAGGGGCCACCCTGCAGCGCCTCCCGGAGTCTGAACACAAAAGCGCACCTCAGCTTAGACCACGCTGCGAAGCCAGCCCCAGAACCACCCTCTGCCACAGTGAGGCACCCTGCACCAGAGCTCAGGTCTCGGGGGCTGCTCTCCCCAGGTCCTACCTCCCACACCCCGACCCCCTTCCACCTCCCGTCCCAGGCAGATGGCTGCTTCTGGGCACCCAGGGTCCCAGGGTGCTGCTGCTCTGGCCTGAGTCCACTCTCACCAGCCCCACCTCCAGCCAGACCACGAGGTGGACAGTACTCACCGGCTCACCATCCCTTCCTGGGGCACCATCCTTCCCTGGTGGCCCTGGAGGTCCCGGGGGTCCCTGTGCCCCAGGGACAGACTGTGCATTGGAACCCTGCACCACGGGGCCTGCAGGGCCTGGAGGACCAACGGGGCCAGGCAGGCCCTGAGCTCCCGGCTCACCCTTTTGTCCCTTCAGGCCTCCCTGGAGACAAAGATAGGAGAAGACGGGCTACGTGACCTGCCCCAGTTCTTCTCCACGCTGCGGCCACAGAACCCTAGAAAGGGCACACAGGGTGGGCGTGCAGAGGACACGGGGTGGACGTGCACAGAGGACACGGGGTGGGCATGC